ACAGAGAGAGAGAGAGAGAGAGAGAGAGAGAGAGAGAGAGAGAGAGAGAGAGAGAGAGAGAGAGAGAGAGAGAGAGAGAGAGATTGACAAAAAAACTCTCCCCCCTTCCCTGCCCCTCTTTCTATCCTCTCCTTTCTCTCTCCCTTGCCTTCTCTGCGAACATGTTGTGATTATGGCTGTTGCTAGACTGAAAATTTGCTCCTAATGCCAGCTATAACGACCGTATGTTCTATTCAGGGGAAGACCGTTGCCTTCAAGTATCCCCATAGTCTATGGTGTTTCTGTTACTTGTGATGGGAACTTGGGAGGTTGATCCTGTTGAATCAGATGTGGGCATGGGACTTTTTCGGGATTTCCTGCCCTAGTTGGTTGCACTCAGCACCCTTGTGAAGTTATAGATGATCGGACGCGGTTGTTCAAGCTGTGGTCCGAACAGTTTTGTTAGCCACTATGGATTTGGAGAGTCGGCCCTTGATTTGATGTTGTGCATGGTGCTGTGGTCTTCCTCTTTTCCCTCTTTTCCAATTCAGGAAATGTGGAGAAGGTTACTAATCAGATCGTCCAGGCCGTCATAAAGTACCGGGAAATCAAGACTAATCTGAATGAAGGAACCAAGTTCTACATCACACTGCAGGTATGTAATCTGTCCCTCTTCTCTGCTGTTGTGATACTTTTTCACTCGCAGATTGTGTAATGTGTAGGATGTTAAAGAAAGGAAGTCGTTGTCATCGTTATTGTCATCGTTTCCCCTCTCTGCTGTGTGAACCTTACGCTCCAAGACTGTCGTACTATGTTCCGGCTATGTCCCGGCTTTGTCCCGGCTATGTCCTGGCTAAGTCCACCCCGATCTCCCAGATACCACCAGCCTCAAAACCTGGGCGCATGGCTGCCGCCACTGGAGCTGCTACACGGTGCAGCTCCCCCTTCCCTCTCTTTCTCACGCGTTTTCACTGCCGCCAGCTTCCAGTGCAGCGCTAATGTTGGCAGCCATTGCCTCTGAATGCGGCGGGCCCCCTCCCTTTCGTCACTTTCTGGAGGGGAGAGAAAGAATGGCTTCACACCAGGATAAAACTGCATGTGGCCTGAGCAGTCAGAATGCAGGGTTACTTTTCAAATTTAGTGATGAGTCACCCGGGGCGGAGTTTGATGGTATAATATATAAACAGGTTCTGAGGGGGTAGATGTCAACTTTGTTTCTGTTCCTTTTTCTCTCTTAATGACCAAGGAATGTTGATGAGATTGTCAGCCCACAGTTGTTTGTATTGAAGTTTCACGCAGCGGTTTTTGAACTTTTTTCCCTCTAGATTTTGTTTGTTTTTCTATTGCATTTTTTTTGTTCTTAATATTTGCGCTGGGATTGCCAATGACCCTGCATGGACCTCGCCCAATCGGGACCCTGGTGGGTGGGTACCCGTGCAGCCAGAGCCAGTCCAGGCGGCCTGGTTGATAGCCTACTGACAGATACGATCATGTCAGGGCCTACTTCCTTTAGAAGAAAAAAAAAAAAAAAAAAAAAAAAGGTGTGTAATATCATACTAATGTACTAATATCTGTTCTGAATCTGTGATCAATTTAATATCTGAAACAATCAAAAAAAAAAAAAAAGAAAGGCAACAGAGTGTGGGCCTTGCAGAAATGTAACTGCTGTCTAAGAAGTAGTCTTATCCGAGACTACCTTCTTCATCCAAATAAAACATACGGTACGGTCATTATAGCGGTATCTCGACTGAAATGTGGCCCAGATTCAGCTGTAATGACCGTACGTTTTATTCGGATGGAGGAGGTAATCGTTCCCCAATGCAGCGCGCCCCCCCCCCCCCCCCCCCCCCCCCCCCTCTTTCCACCCCTAATGGCCCGCAACTTCCCTCCACTTCCCTGTCGTGTTAAAAGGAACTTAAACCTAGTGCGGTGCTGCAACAGGACCACTGCCAAGCACAATTAGTTGGAATTATTTTTCTATTGTGGGTGCATCTCATGGGGCATTTGTCATTATAGCGGTATCTCGACTGAAATGTGGCCCAGATTCAGCTGTAATGGAGAAGAGGGTAACAGAGTCCTAAATTTTCAGGTGGGGGACCCTGTTAACCTTCGGTGCCCTAATGGCCCTCAACTTCCCTCCACTTCCCTGTTGCGTTAAAAGGAACTTAAACTTAGAGCCCTACCGTCTTCACCCGAATAGAACGCCCGGTAATTATCGCCGTATCTGGGCTGAAAGTTGTGCCAAATACAGCTATAATGACCGGGCGTTCTATTCGGGTGAAGACGGTAGGGCGGTGCTGCAACAGGACCGCTACCAAACACAATTAGTTGGAATATTTTTCTATCGTGGGTGCATCTCATGGGGCATTTGTTCTGCTTGTTCGAGCCAGGGTAATGTTGTCCTTTCCCTAGCTTCAAAATCCATCAGTATGAATCGCACAGCCAGATCATATATGACGTTCTGATTTCAATGGGCGTATGGGTTTCTGCTATGCCCATGCTGTGTTCCAGTATGTGCGTGGAGCGCTGCGCCAGCATTGCACTGATCGTGACTTGAGGAGAGGCGTCAATCTGCACGGGCATATATTATAACAGATTAGACCAGACCAGATGCAGATGCAGCATGACTCTCTTTGTTGATATGTGGTTTTGTATTGTGTAATGTGCACACCTGTTGCAGGATGCATTGAGTTCTCTGAAGCAGCAGTGCAGTGACTACGCGTTGACTAGAGAGATTCAGGGCAAAGATATCATTGAAGATCTTCAGCGACAGCTGTCGAACGTTCGAGTCGAGACTGCGCCGGGACCGCCTCCACCCTCGACACAGGGCCAGGCACCCAATTACCCAGGTTTGCTTGGAGCACTGGGAGGGATGTTGGGAATCCAAAGACATGGGAACCAAATGTCTGGGTCCCAACAGGAGGCACCACAACCTTCTGCGCCGGCTGTCGGAGCGATGGGGTCATCACCCCAACACCAAGGACAGGGCTTGCCTCCACAACAGCAGCGGCCGATGAGCCAGGGCTACACGAATCAGCCACCACCGTATTATCCCCCACCAGCACCTTATCAGCAACCGCAACATGGGGGATATTATGGAGGGCCACCGCCATACCCGGGGGCTCCGGGAGGGGGCTACGCACCCCATCCTCCTTATGCGCCATGGGGTGGGGCCCCTCCTGGGTACTATCAACAAGCACCGCCCCCTCCGCCGCCTGGTAATAATTTGCAGTACCCTTATTATGGACAGGGATCGCAGCAGTGACTTGGCGGCTCCTGTTTTCAAATAACGAGGCAGTTCCAAGATTATGATGAATTCATGACCGGGCTGTCGCCTGTTCATTTTGTCCACTTACGGCTGCAAATTTGTGTTGCCCCAGTCGCACGTGAAGCATGCCAGGATGCAACAACAACCAGGCCAGGAGCGGTGAACGTGATCCACCCCCTCTATGGGAAGCAGCGAGCGGAGTCCACATTTCGGGGAACCACTTGGTGCTTTTCCATCCTTTGCAGTAGCAGCTTCTTCTCAGCTTGTAAAAGTGGATTTTGAAGGAAGAGAGAGAGAGAGAGAGAGAGAGAGAGAGAGAGAGAGAGAGAGAGAGAGAGAGATGAAGTTGGTTCTTGTGGTATATTTGTTGCAGAGCCAGTGAAGCAAAGTCAGTGAGCTCTGTCATCAAATTTTTTGTGGCTTTGAGAGCCATTGTTGTCTCTGGAGCCGATCGTGTCGGCATTGCCTTATTGGCAAGCTTGTGATATGTATATATAATTTGCAAAACATGTACGTAGTATTCTTAGTATGTGTTGCCACTGTCAGTTGCTTGTACTGCCATCTTGATAGCAGCCTCTAGTTTGATGTGGCAAAGTTGAGTCGATTCAATGGGATGGTGCCAGTTTGATATGTGCTGCCGTGCTTCCATTGCCCCCTGCCATTGCATACCATTGTTTGTCTGAAAGGTCGTACCAGAATGATTGCAGTCTCTAGTTCGAGGGCAGAACTGAATTGATTCCATGGTGGTGCTGGTTTGATGCTGCCTCCTTGCCTCTTCCCCTTTGCTCTCTCGCCCCCGTCGATTGTGCATTTGCTTCTCCCGATTCCCTTGCGATATACATTCTCGATGTTACAGTTGCGGTCGTTCTCTGAAATGGGCGCGTTCGCTCCCGCCGTCTAATCCTCACTCGTCTCGTTTCTGTTCTTATTGGGGCTGGTCTTCGACCTGGAGTTGGCGCTTGGCCCATATGGAGCTGGGGGTTCCTCCTCCTCCTTTGTGTGTCGCGTCAACGGTTGGAGTGGGTTTGAGTTTGCAGTTTTGGAGCGGTTCAACGTTCAAACGAGATCATTTTTTCGCGGTAATGCGGCGGAGCTGGTGCCATGAACAGCTTCCGAGAGCGAGGCGTCCCTTCTCTATGTTCCGTTTCCATCAGACAGCTTCCACAGAGCAGTCGCAGCAGTGTACCGAGGCATGGTCGCTGAAGGTCGGATAGAAGCATCAGCTTGTTTTTGGGAGTGGCTTTGCAGAGAGAGGGTATCATGGCGCAGGCGTTGAAGAACTTGAGGGAGGAGGTATGTGGGAGTGGAAGCTTGCCCTTCGCCTTTTGGGTTGAAAGTGTTGTTGTCATCATAGGGGAGGAAGAAGTGGGATAGGCTAAGAGGATACCTCTGTATGGCATGGCGAGCAAGTATGGTCCTTTTACGCGCAGAGAGAGCTTTGTGTTGTCGTGTGGATGATGACTATCTTCTTTATCTGAAAGAAGACTGGATGCGGTCCGCAGCAAGAACTGACCATGTCCCTCGTTATATTGCAGGTAAGAAATCTATCTGATGCTCAGGGATGGCAGCCACCTCTGTTGTCTTACTTCTCGCGGATGGAGGACTGATCATCTCCGCATTGCCCAGGGGTGGATTACCGGGGCTGGAGGGTTTGGGGGAAAGAGGGGATGGGGGTTAGCAACTGTGCCGGCTGCCTTGACATTTGACATCGGGATAACATTCCGTGTTTGAAAGGCTCATGTCTTCATTGTCGTCCCCCCTTCGGTGATTATGAGTTTCCCCCTTTTTATCTCTTTCGGGGATCGAGCAATCGGCCATGTGCAACTTTGACGATGCTTGTCCTCGATGACTCGGGTTGGGTGCGTACATGCGCGTTTTGCGGCTTAGACGTCTGATCTTGCCCCTCCTTTCCACCACTTTATCTTTCGAGAAATTTCCACCTTATCATTTACGATTATCTGCTATTACCCAATTTCCACCTTATCATTTACGTTTATCTGCTATTACCCTATCGTCTTCTTTCCTTTTTCTTATTCTTTTGTTACTCTAAAGCTAGGCTACTTGCCTCGCCCGGGGGTCACCTGCACGGGCCACTCCGTGTGGGCAAAAATCAGCCCTTCTTTTTTTTGAGGAGGGGGGACGCGGGCGCGGGCTGTTTCTGCACATGCCCAGAGGAGCTCAAATCTGGGCTCCTCTCTCTTTTCGACTGTTGGCTGTCAAAGGGGTGGGGGGGAAAGGGGGGGTATACATTGCTTTTCAAGGGGCCAAAAGGCACCTGGGTGTGTGTCCGGGCACAAGTTGGGGGTCCAGAACCCTGCCTGGGGTTCATGCCCGGTCGGACACCTGGGCGTGTGTTCGGGACAAGTTGGGTGCCTGGGCGCCTGCCAAAACAGCCTAGCTCCTCGTCTCTTTTCGACTATTGGCTGTCGAAGGGGTGGGGGGGAAAGGGGGGGTATACATTGCTTTTCGAGGGGCGAAAAGGCACCTGGGTGTGTGTCCGGGCACAAGTTGGGGGTCCGGAACCCTGCCTGGGGTTCATGCCCGGTTGGACACCTGGGCGTGTGTTCGGGGACAAGTTGGGTGCCTGGGCGCCTGCCAAACCAGCCTAGCTCCTCGTCTCTTTTCGACTGTTGGCTGTCAAAGGTGTGGGGGGGAAAGGGGGGGTATTCATCGCTTTTCGAGGGGCGAAAAGGCACCTGGGTGTGTGTCCAGGCACAAGTTGGGGGTCCGGAACTGTTACATACTTCAATGAGTATGGGCAGAACCAAAGATCAACCAATGTAGGATGAGCATATATGCAGCGGAAGTCTGATAAACGGACTGACTCACATAGACTGACTCACACAGACTGACTCCAGAATCACTCCACACACATACAATCGTGAGATGGTGGGGTCTGGGCCAAACATAGACGATGCCCAGACCTTGTACACGCATACACAGATGAGAGGTGGGAGGAGAGACGAAGGAGGTGGGGGAGGTAGACAGCACCGAAGGTCACCGAGATAGAATCTGATGGGTCACCGATATGGTAATCCAAAATGTCATCCAACAAGATCAAAATGTCGAGGACAATAGGTCACCAATGTCGGAGGTACAGAGTCCAAATGTAACTGGTGTCAAACTGTGATGCAGTCGAGTATCAACCCCAACAATCTCCAAGTCTCCAATCCGGTAAGTACCACAGTCTCATATCACCGAAGTCCAACACTGATCTCTGTCCAACTAGTATAAATCTCCAATCTGAAGAAGAAGAAGAAGAAGAAGAAGAAGCAGAAGAAGAAGAAGAAGAAGAAGAAGGAGCCGAGGAGGAGAGAGAGAGAGAGAGAGAGAGAGAGGGGACTGGCGATGGGAGGGAGGAGAGAAGCCTCCAACTCCCAATACCTCAGGCGGCTATGGCCGCCAGTAACCCAGTCGCCGCTGCTGCTGCTCCGCTCGCTGCTGCTGCGCTAATCTGCGCTGCGCTGTTCCTCGCTGCTCCTGCGCTAATCTTAGCGCCAGCGCTGTGTTGCGCTGTACCATACCGTACCGGTAGAATGCCGGTAGGTCGATGCCTCGAAGTGAGGCCGGACCAGTACTAAGTACTGGTTCGAAGAGGACCGGCCTCACTGCTGTGAGGCCTTGGTTGGGGCTGAACCGTCCAGATCGACGATTCAGGTCCAACCGGAGAGCGGCAGCCTCAAACGGCGCCGTCAGGCCCAAAGACGAAATGTCATTTGGGCCTGGTCCGTAGTCGGGTCCAAGTCGTGGCCTTTCGGCCTGTTATCCCCCAAGGTCGTGCCTTTAGGCCCTGTGTGTCCCTCTAGCCCTAAGTCGGGTCCGGTAGGACCCGTGTGGCGTCGAAGATGTAACACACTCCCCCTCTTAAAAGACCGAGCTACCTGCGAGGGCGAAGTTGTCTGTCCCATACCGGGGTGGGTCGGGCGGGACGAGCTGCGTACTTAGCAAGGCGTCGCCTCTCATAGTCGGCGAAGATAAGGGGTGCAGAAGTCTGCAAATCTGTACTGGAGATCCACCGAGTGTCATCAGGCGCACATTGCTTGAATGTGACTTTGTACTGCCTTGGCTTGTTGCCATACTTGCGGTGCGTGATGACTCGGTCCACTTCCTGATGTCCGTCCATGGAGGGCGGGATCCTGTGATCGACGTCCGGGAAACTCGTCATTTGAAGGTGGCGTGTAGATGGCCAGCTTTGATGCGTGGAAGACCCGATCCCCTGTCAGGTGCGGTGGAATGTTGATCACGAAGGAAGGACCTGCGGGATCG